AACCTAAGCTTACAGCGCCTAACTCGACACAAGGATGTGATATTGGTTCTGATCTTTTATATCCCCCCCCCAACAACAACAACAAAATACGTCGACTCGCTTAGTATTTAATCAGCCGACAGCTGACAGTTTTAGTTAGGGTTGGACCACTTGAAAATTGAGAGGGGGGAGCTGGGGATTTTGTGGAAACAAATGTCAATGCAAACACAAGACAAATAAAAATAGATAAAAGCAAATTCTTAATGTTAAAATATATATAAATGGAGTGGTACAAATGCGTAGGTTCAGCAGAGTAAGTTTATTCTAACAAGAACAGTCTAAACAATGAATGAATTTGAATGTATTTTGGTTTAGTGCGTCTACCATGGACAATGAATGAATTTGAATGTATTTTGGTTTAGTGCGTCTACCATGGACCATGCATGGACAGGCCTGGTGTGTAAGTTACGCCTCAGACTACTATAGAACAGACTAGCAACGCCTGTTATCGTAGGTGTGAATTGGGCATTACGCCCGCAGGATGCGTCACGGTGCCATGTCAGACCTTGCTGGTAGTTTATCAACACACGTTTCTATCGTAGTCTGAGGCACAGTTCCTCAGTGTGTCTGAGCATGGTCTGAGCATGTTCAGCAAATGACAAAACTTGTATCCAATGACAAAAACTACCTCCATTTCGTACGTATCTAATGCATTGGCCAACACTCTGAAATGAGTTTAGAGTAAATCGAATATTAAAATAAAAGTTATAAAACCCTTTGGAATATCACAATTCTCACACGCACCATGGAAGGTACCTTCCATGCACGCACCCAATTAAACTATTACACAAAAACGGACAATTAGGAAGTAATGCATCACGTGTTAATAATGCCCATAGACTGTTGTTATATTTAGCATATGTAGGACATAATATAATTATTTGAAATTTAGATATAAATTGTGTGTACAATTTGGAAAGCACAAATCCTACTGTGAAACACAGTCCCTCAACACCTGTGTGTGAAAGTACATTTGATAAAGGAAATATAATCGTAGATCAGCATCGTCCTAAAAAAATTTCTCTCGAATTCATACTCTTCCTATACACCATAACTTACAACTACAACGTATATATGAAAATGTCAAATCAGAAGCCTGGCTATAGCCATGCTATGTCTACAAGTTATAATGATTCATAACACACAATATAGTAGCGCGATGCGAGGGGATTTATTTGCAGACGTGAAATTACGTCACTTACTTCGCATAAACTGGTATCATACTTTTGTCGAAGAAGGAAATGCAAGGTAATTAATTTTGTTAAAAGGAAGTAAGTCGTATGAGTGCGGGTATATTACGCATTGAATTATCCGAATTTGTTAGCTAAAGTTAGATCATATTTTTTTTAATTTAAAATATCTACTAGTATTTTATTGACACATTAGACTACAATAGGAAAAGATGGTTTTCATGTGATCCACATAAACATTCATAAGCCCCTACAATGCAGCTTTACATGGTTACGTAATCTAAAAATGTCAAACTTGATAAAAACACAGTGAGCCTTTGTTACTCTGATGAGTTGGATCATGAACCAAACAGCGAAAAGATTACGGGTACTGTTGACTAAGAACAAAAGAAAAAGTTGAAAGAAGCAATTGTCATACACATACATCATATGGAATCATTGTTTATAAAAGTATCTATAGGCAAAGGGTGAAAGAATTTGACCACACTCCAAATACAAAAACATGCGTTACTCGCCACTACACTGAAACGCTGCGACAAAGACTTCTGTTTTCGGCATTGTGAAATTCTTTCGTTTTTATGCAGAAAAACACAGTATTTTACCAAGTGAAATACACGAGTTGTTGAACACACTGCTTATTTTGTAATTTCATTCAACTTCTTTCAGTCATAATTCAAGACAAATAAAAGGCAAAGATAGAGAGAATGTAGCAAATATTGTAATATTAGTGTATAATCAGCAATTATGAAAAAAAATTTATGGGTGAATAGGAAAGACATTTCGTTATGAATTATTCTAATACAAATTTCTGAATTATCTTGTCAACATTTTTTCAGTTTTGTTTTTCTCACAAAAAACGAAAGAATTTCACAATGTCTTTATCGTAGTCTTTAACTAAGTGCGCATTTCTATCGTGGTCTCACTAGAAAAAAGTTACGTGGTTGCAGTTGTAAGTTGTGTCCGGCAATTTGCATGTAAAATATAACGATCTCAAAATCCAGTGTTCACACCTGATTAAGATAACTCTCTTATACAGTGAGCATTTTGGTTATCTCCTCAGATGCTTGTAGATTAGCTTCTAGTCATGGGTGAATAGCAAAGATTAAAAGAATTAAACACCTTTTGTCTTTGCTGGTCACTACTTTGTCTTGCTTATCTGTTTGATTCATGCATGGAACTATAAACCATAGTTTATAGATCCATGATATATGTGATATCGACCGCCAGAATGTTAAATCTTCTACTCGCACAGAAACTACATTGTTTTTGATTTACCGAAAGTTGTTGTGTCCCTGCGAATGGCGAATTACCACATACTCAGTTTACGCAATGATGGTCATCTTTTCCTGTTCTTCCTCCTGACTGGCAACTGTTAATACTAGCTCTGTCAGTAGACTGTGTGAATAGATATGTCTCTCGTTTTTTTTGTTTTTTTTTTAGCGAAAATTGTTATTTTTTGTCGAATATCGTAACTACAAATTTTTCAATTTTACTCGTTTCCGACTCCATTCTTTTTTTATGGTATCGTAGTTTGGATGTGTGTTTTTTTTTTCGTGGTGTAAACGGCTGTGCTTTACAGTGTGTTTTTTCACAGGAATCTATGCATATTTCGACTCTTGACTTTGCAAATCCGTCGTTTTTTTTCGCCAGTCGTCCATGACAAACACTGTATGCGCCATCGCCAGTTACTTAGGCCACGGTTACTAACCGTGCTTAGGCCAAAACGTCCGTCCATAGACACTTCCACTGAAGATCAACTCACCTGTCATTCTGGATTATTCAAATTATTCAAGTCTTGTTTTTCTTACGTGATTGTCATTGCTTATAATCCCTAGAATGAACGATGGTAGCATCTTTGTTGATTTTAAACTCACAGGTGCCCTTCAACAACAACAACAACGTAAGACAATTTGTTTATTTATTTAATCCTTCAACATCCATTGGAATGAATGATAATGGATACAATACAATACGACACGATGCGATGCGACACAATACAATAAAAT